TACCTATTCACACATTCTATCTATTCATCAACTGATGGACACTTGGGCTACTTCCATCTCTTAGCTGTTGTGACTAATATCTCTGAGTCCTTCACATATATGGTGTCAAGGGATTTTTCAACAAGGGTGCCAAGACCATGCAATGGAGAAAGGACACATTTCAGCAAATGGTCATAGGAAAGCTGGATACCCACATGCAAAAGAATGGAGTGGGACCCTTAACGAACATCAGATACAAAAGTTAAAAGGGGGAGCTTCGTGCATTGGATTTGGCAATGATCTCTTGAATGACACCAAAAATATAGGCAACAAAAGAAAAATAGACAAACTGGACTTTATCAAAGGGCCCTGGTCGGTGTTCGCAATGGTTAGAGCAGCGGCCAGCACACCAAAGGGTGGAGGGTTCAATTCCCGGTCAGAGGGAGTGCAGGAGGCAACCAATTGATGTGTCTCTCTCACAGTGATGTTTCTCTCTCTGTCTGTCTCTTTCTCCCTCCTCCCTTTCTCCCTTCCACTCTAAAAATCAATGGAAAAAAATCCTTAGGTGAGGATTAATAACAACAATAACAAACAACCAACACAGAGAAAATAACAAGTATTGGCAAAGATGTAGAAAAACTGGAGTCCTTGTGCATTGCTGATGGAAATGTAAAATGATGTTGCAAATGCTGTGGAAAAACAGAATGGCAGTTCCTCAAAACCTAAACACAGAATTATCCTATGACCCACTTCTAGGTATATGCCCCAAAAAATTGAAAAGAGGGACAGGAAGAGATACTTGGATACCCATATTCATAGCTGCATTATTTACAGTAGCCAACAGGAGGGAACAACCCAAACGTCTACCAACAAATGCAGAGATAAAACATGGTCCATACATACCAAAAGAATATTATTCAGCCTTAAAAGAGAATGAAGAGCCCCAGCTGGTTTGGCTCAGTGGATAGAGTGTCGGCCTGTGGACTAAAGGACCCAGGTTTGATTCCCAGCAAGGGCACATGCCCGGGGTTGCGGGCTGGAACCCCAATAGGGAACGTGTAGGAGGCAGCTGATCAATGATTCTCTCTCATCACTGATGTTTCTCTCTCTCTCTCTCTCTCTCTCTCTCTCTCTCTCTCTCTCCCTCCCTCCCTCCCTCCCCCCCTCCCTCCCTCCCCCTTCCTCTCTGAAATCAATAAAAATATACTTTTTAAAAAAGATGAAGATATCAATCATACCTCAATCAAAATTTTGTTTTTAGATTTTAAAAAAAGGAATGAAGTTTGGATACATGCTATGACATGAATGAACTCTGATCCCACTTACATGGAGTACCCAGAACAGGCAGATGCACAGAAAGAGGATATAGATCAGATGTTACCAGGTGCTGGCAGTAGGGGAAATGGGAGTTATTTGCTTACTGGTTAGAGTTTATGTTTGGGATGATGAAAAAGTTTTGGAAATAGTGGTGATTGCACTATATTGTGCGTGTAATGAACACTCTGAATGTAACTAAATGGGTTAGCCCTAGCTGGTTTGGCTCAGTGGATAGAGCATCAGCCCTCGGACTGAATGGTCCTGGATTTGATTCCGGTCAAGGGCACATACAAGTTACAGCTTGTTCCCTGGCCCTGGTCAGGGCACATGCAGGAGGCCAGAAATCAATGTCTCTCTCTCAAGTCGTTGTGTCTCTCTGTCTCTCCCTCAAGTCGTTGTGTCTCTGTGTCTCTCCCTCTCCTTTCCACTCTCTCTAAAAATCAATAGAAAAAAGTGCTCATTAACAAACAAACAGCCCTAACCGGTTTGGCTCAGTGGATAGAGCATCAGCCTGTGGACGGAAAGGTCCTAGGTTCAATTCCAGTCAAGGGTATGTACCTTGGTTACAGGCACATCCCCAGTAGGAGGCGTGCAAGAGGCAGCTGATCAATGTTTCTCTCATCGATGTTTCTAACTCTTTATCCCTCTCCCTTCCTCTCTGTAAAAAATCAATAAAATAAAAAATAAAATCTCTCTTTAAAAAAAAATTCACTTTTTTTTTTAATATATTTTATTGATTTTTCACGGAGAGGAAGGGAGAGAGAGAGTTAGAAACATCGATGAGAGAGAAACATCGATCAGCTGCCTCCTGCACATCTCCTACTGGGGATATGCCCGCAACCCAGGCACACGCCCCTGACCGGAATCGAACCTGGGACCCTTCAGTCCGCAGGCCGACGCTCTATCCACTGAGCCAAACTGGTTTCGGCAAAAAAAAAATTCACATTGTTAAAAAAAACACACAAATGGCTTCAATAGCCACCTGGCCAGTGTTACTCAGTGGTTGAGCATCAACCTATGAACCAGGAGGTCACAGTTCATTTCTAGTCAGGGCACATGCCCAGTTTGTGGGCTCCATCCCCAGTAGGGGGCATGCAGGTGGCAGCCAATCAACGATTCTCTCTCATCATTGATGTTTCTCTTTCTCCCTCTCCCTACTTCTCTGAAATCAATAAAAATCTATTTTTTAGAAAATGGTTTAAATGATGCCCCAGCCATGTGGCTCAGTTGGCTGGAGCATCACCCTGTGCACGAAAAAGGTGTGGGATCAATTCCAGGTCAGGGCACATACCTATGTTTCGGGTTCAATCCCCAGTGAGGGAGCATCCAGGAGGCAACTGATCAGTTTCTCTCTCACACTGATGTTTCTCTCTCTTTCTCCCTCCCCGCTTCTTCTCTAAAAAAATAAAATAAAATAAAAAAGTCAATACACATATCCTCAGGTGAGGATTAAAAAAATGGTTTAGCCCAAACCGGTTTGGCTCAGTGGATAGAGCATCGGCCTGCGGACTGAAGGGTCCCAGGTTCGATTCCGGTGAAGGGCATGTACCTTGGTTGCTGGCACATCCCCAGTAGCGGGTATGCAGGAGGCAGCTGGTTGATGTTTCTCTCTCATTGATGTTTCTCTCTCATTGATGTTTCTAACTCTCTATCCCTCTCCCTTCCTCTCTGTAAAAAAATCAATAAAATAATTAAAAAAATAAAATAAAAAAAAATGGTTTAAATGGTAAATTTTGTTACTATATATCACAACTTTTAAAATTTTTTAAATTGATTTTTAGAGAGAGAGGAAGAGAGAGGGAAAAACACTGATCAGCTGCCTCCTGCACGGGGCCACTGAGATGGGGCCCATGACCTTGGTATGTGCCTGACCAGGAATCAAACTGGCAATGTTTCTGGTGCACGGATGACATCCAACCAACTGAGCCACACCAGCCAGGGCTATCATAACGTTGTAAAAAAAAAAAAAAAATAGTGATATGCAAAAAACATGACTTATACACCTTAAATAAGTGAACTGTCAGATGTGTGAATCCTATCTCAACAAAGCTGTAAAAAAAGTAACAGTGGCGGCTCACATGTATTACATTAACCTCACAACAATCTGTGAGGTGGCTACATTTCTTAACCTCATTTCACATATTGAAGAAACCGAAATTAGGTAATTTGCCAAATGTCCCCGAGTTAGTGGAGTCGCCAGGGAATCAAACACTATCACATTCTAGAGCGCCTACAGTTGGGGGGGGGGGAGGGAGGGGCGGCCTCTAACAGAAAAATTAATTCTAAGCACTTGGTGTTTAGCTAGAAGAACCCATCCAAGAAATGACACGATTTTTAGAATTTCAAAACTTTCCCATAGTTTTCATCTCAATGTCACTCTGAACTAAGTCATGATGACCACCAGTAAAACAATAACCACTGGCAGAGGAACATAACCTCGCCCCCGAGCACAGGCAATAAGACGGTGGGTTCACCTGGTAAGCTCCCCCCTGGACAGTCCTCCTCTGAGAGGCTCCCAGAACCTAGGATACAAAAGGCAACAAGCACCCAGGTCTGGCAACGGCACTGAGGAACGAAGGACGCTGCAGATGTGCAGGACGGAGAGACCTGGTGCCCACTCCCGGGTCAGGCACCTCCCGGGGGCCAGTCCACGAGGCGAGGTGCAGGTTCCACTGCCTCACCAACCCGGTGGGCACCACTCAGGAGTGACTGCGGGCTCTGCCAGGCCTACGTGTCTCACCGGCTCGGGACACCCCTCCCCACAGCCCGCACAATTCGCTGAGGCCGACACGATGAAACCATCCACGCGGGTGGCGTCACTCAACAGGGAGCGGACAACAGACCCAGGCCACACTCCCGAGTCCAGAAGCCGAGCCAGGCGACCGGGCGCAGCGGAGTCTGCGGGACTCCTTCACCCACATCCTGCCCCTCTGACCTTCCCAAGCAACCACCTGGAACACGCAAAAGGCACGGTTACCCTCGCAGCGGACCGGCCCTGCCAGACCAGGCCCTTCCTATGGGAAACGCGCTCCCCGAGCGGAACGCGGCAGCCACGCGTCCCTTCTCCAGCTGGAAGGAAACCCACTGGCAAAGCCAGCCGGGATCTAAAATCTGAAAAGAGGGGCTACGAGGGAAAATCCCGCTCTCCCCACATTCGTCCAACGGGCGCAGAACCCACCAGCCCCCGCCCCGCCTCCGGGTTCTACTGCCCAGGACGTCGGGGCCGGAGCTCTCGCGCCCGGTGGGGTCCCGCCGAGCCCGCTCGTGTCCGTCCGGGTCCGAGAGCCGGGCTACGTGCTGGGCACAGAAGACTCCCCCTCGAGCGACACCTCGGAAAAGCAGGAAAAAGGAAGGAGCCGAAGGCCCGGCCGCCTGCGGCCCCGCAGACCCGGAGCCCCGACCCGCCACCACGCGTCAGTGCCCGACTCGCAAGCCGGCCGCCCCGAGGCCGGACCGGTAATCCTACCGCCCGGCCGGGGCCCGCCCCAGGCCCGCGACCGTTCCGGGGCGCTCCTCCCGGGGGCGGCGCCTCGCTCTCCACACCAGCGCTCGGCTCTCTCCTTCCCGAGCCAAGTCGCGGCCGCCCCGCGACCCCGAAGCCGCAGCGTCCAGGCCGCGCGGGCCCTCGAGGTCCAGGGCGGCCTGGGAGGCAGGCTTCCTCCCCTCAGGCTCCAGCGCGTCCACCCGCCCGCCCCGGTCCTTACCGAGGCAGCGCGGCCTCCACGGCCCGCTCCTCCGAATCCTCAGCCGCCGCCACCGACCCAGTGTCGCGGAGACCGGAACTTCCTCCGCGCCCGGCCGCTGCCTCCACAAAGGCGCCGCGCCGCCGCCTGGAGCGCTCGGCCTGCCGGGATATGGAGTAGAGCGGCGGGTCGCGCCGACTCCCCTCCCGCCGTGCCCCGCGCGTGGGGGGGCGGGGCAGGTGTGTCTGCGGGGGCGGGGCGTGAGGGCACGCTGCTTGTCGGCGTCCAATGGGAGGGCACGCTTTCCCGCCGCTGTGTGTGGGACCCGCGTGGGGTGTGGCTTGGGTTCTAGTGGGCGGCCACTGGTCCTCCAGCTCCCACGGTTCGTCCGGCCGGGGGCCGGGGGCGAGGGGACCACCCTGGCCCGTGCAGCTCGAGGCTGCCTTCTTTTTTTTTTTAAATATATTTTATTGATTTTTTACAGAGAGGAAGGGAGAGAGATAGAGAGTTAGAAACATTGATGAGAGAGAAACATCGAACAGCAGCCTCCGGCACACCCCCCCTAGGGAAGTGCCCGCAACCAAGGTACATGCCCTTCACCTGAATGAACCTGGGACCCTTGAGTCCGCAGGCTGACGCTCTATCCACTGAGCCAAACCGGTCAGGGCGAGGCTGCCTTCTTGTGAAGGGAAAGAAAGGGAGCCCGAGGCCGAGGATAGTCAGAGAAGCAGTGGTCACACGGGTTCGTCCCTCTAGGCATCTCCCGACCGGAAATACCAGGCTGTGTTAGCTACTTTAAGGTTCAGGAGGGAGCCCTCCCTGCCTCTGAAGGAGAATCAGCCCAGCTGCCACGGGGCCTGACTAGTTCTCAGCAATAAACTGGCCCAGAGTGACTTGCGCGAGGTCACGGAGAAGCTGGAAGCTGCCTGCACATCAGCATTCTAGCGGGACACGGGGCATCGCAGTTTTAGGGAATGCTCTTGCAGTGGCCGGCTCCAGGCTGCCAGGTGGATTGTCTGCACCTGAAATGCTTGCTGATTCCAGCCACCTGGTGTCCCTGTCAGTGGATCCTTAGAGAAAGAAACCTGATTTTATAGCCTAAATTCAATTTCAGGGGATGAAAGAAGTCTGCTGCAAGAAAAACCTATAAAGCATTCTCAAATAAAGCCTTATCTGTAGAGAAAAGGTGGTTGGGGTAAGCAGTCTTTAAAGTTACCTTCCCACTTTTCAGGCATCTTGTCTGCAAGTCAGTTCTTCAAGAATTGTATGAAGTACCTACCGTATGCCAAGCACTGTATCAGGTGCTGGAGATACAGGGGAAAAACCAAAGCTTATAAAAGTTCTGCCCTAGCGGAGATGCAGATGGGAGCGGTTATTAAACAAGATATACACCCTCTGCTGAAATCAGTTTGGTTTCTGTAAGAAGGGAGATGGAAAGCTGTTGGAAGGCTCTAAATCTATAATAATAAAAGGGTAATATGCTAATTAGACCAGGGCCGGAGGGAAGCCGATGCCGGCAGCCGGGGGAAGGAAGGCCTACTCTTTTTTTTTTTTTTTTTTTTTTTTTTTTATTGCTTAAAGTATTACAAAGGGTATTACATATGTGTCCATTTTATCCCCCCGCCCTAGACAGTCCCCTAGCCTCCCCTATCCCCCAATGTAAGGAAGGCCTACTCTTGCACGAATTTTCATGCATTGGGCGGGCCTCTAATAGAATAATATGACTTGCCTTCCATGCCAATAGGATCCCACTGGCTGCTGTGTGGAGAATAGGCCGAAGGTAAGAAGGTCATAAGCAGGGCATTCGGTTAGGAGACTTGTGATAATATAACCACAACAGGATGGTACTTGTGTGGTCACAGTGGTCAAAGGAGACAACTAGGATGAGGAAAGAGAGGGCAGAATGTGGGAGGAGCAGTTTTGGTAGAAAGAGCACGAGTCAGTGGGAGTTTTCCATGCCTAGTGGGACCTGGGGTTGTCAGTTGGATACATCAGCCGGGAGTTCAGAGTAAAGGTCAGAGTTAGAGATGCAAATCTGGGCGGTATCAACGAATCTAGTGCTGGTATCTAAAGCCCTGGGCTTGGATGAGAAGGCCAAGGCCATAAGGGAGCGAGTGTGTACAGACAGATCGGAGTCCCAGCCCTGGGCCCCGGGGCACACCAGCACTAAAGAGGGTCCAGAGAAGAGGAGGAACAGCTACAAAGAACTGTGGGTACTTGGACTTTCCTTCCCAAACTGGGCCATTTTTAAGAATCTATATTTTGAGTGATTTCATGAAGGAAGGGAAAGGGAGAGAGAGATAGAAACATCAGTGATGAGAGAGATTCATTGATTTGCTGACTCTTGCACGCCCCCTACCAGGGATTGAGCCTGCAACACAGGCATGTGCCGTGACCAGGAATTGAACCATTGAATGTGACCTCTGGTTCAAGGTCAACTTTCAACTACTAAGCTACACCAGCCAGGCCAAACTGGGTCATTACTGATGCATTGTTCCTCATCAGAGAGTACTTTATCCTCTAAAGAGGTAAACCGTATTAAGGAACTAATTATTCTTGCCTATGTCCCAATGTCCTTGGGTAATAATAATTGCTACCCTTCATCACACTATATGCCTGGCATTGTGCTAGCATTTTGTTATCTTATCTAATCTTCACAGTAGCCCGACCGGAGTGGCTCAGAGGTTGAGCGTCCACTTATGAACCAGGAAGTCATGGTTCGATTCCTGATCAGGGCATGTGCCAGGGTTGCAGGCTCAGTCCCCAGTAGGGGGCATGCAGGAGGCAGCCGATCAATGATTCTCTCTCATCATTGATGTTTCTATCTCTCTCTCCCTCTCCCTTCCTCTCTGAAATCAATTAAAATATATTTTAAAAAATAAATAATCGTCACAATAACCTTATGATAGACCCTTTTCCAGTTAAGGAAACCAAAGCCCAGAAAGACGAAGTCATTTGCCCACAGCAGGAAACTGGAGGGTGTGGGGATAAACCCAGGTCTGTACTCGTCCAAGGCTCCTGCTACTGAGTACTTTGCCCTTTTCATTAAGGTAATTATTGAGGGTTTTCAGAGGAAGCATCTGGAATTTTTTAAAATTACATGGGCTTATAGTATCTGTAAGGCTGTATTTACTGCCTAAGATCAAGAAGTACGAGCGATGAAAGGGCTGATCCAAAGCCGTGTCCTCCTTGGGATGGGGGCACAGGGCCCAGCCGCTAGGGGGCGCTCTTTCAGCACCTGCGTCTTTCTCAGAGAGAAAAGCATCATTGTCTCAGCCTCCTTCGGGGTCATGGCTCAAATATTAAAATGAGAGACTGTAAGCAGGAGAGAGAGATGAGGGAAGACCAGTGAGGTTTCCCAGCAGAGCAAGGAAACCAGCTGCCTGCCGGGAGCTGCGAAGCAATGAAGGCAGGAAGGACCCTGTGCGGAAGGTCCAGGGAAGGACGGGCTGTCACTATTAGCTCAGAATACTCCACCTTAGCTGTCTTGCATGTGTGTGAGCAGAAAACTGCTGAAGACACTAAAAGACTCATGAAAGGGTCTGCCCTGTCACATAAGCAAGAGGGCGACAGGGCTGGGGACAGACTGCAGTCAGGGCACTTCATTACAGCCGCAGCCTCGGTTCTGAACCGTCCAAGCAAGCGATGGAAGAAAAGAAACGCGGGGAAGAACAAGAGGTGTGTGGAGATGACATGCTGGCTCCGTGAAAACCCTGGGCCTACACACCAGCAAGCGAAGGTTTCGAGGAACCCCAAACCTGGAGGGCCACAGAAGGCACAGGGGAGCCTGCAGGGTTGTTGGCGGCAAAGCCCAAAATTTGCAGCAGCACCATAGAAGGCCCCACAGCCATCGTGGGATTGAAATATATATTTTTGTTCCAAAAGACCAAGATTTGTTTCTTTTATATTTTAAAATATATTTTTATTTTTTTAAAATATATTTTATTGATTTTTTACAGAGAGGAAGGAAGAGGCATAGAAAGTTAGAAACACCGATGAGAGAGAAACATTGATCAGCCGCCTCCTGCACACCTCCCACTTGGGGATGTGCCCGCAATCAAGGTACATGTCCTTGACCGGAATCGAACCCGGGACCCTTCAGTCCGCAGGCCGACGCTCTATCCAGTGAGCCAAACCAGTTAGGGCAAAATATATTTTTATTGATTTCAGAAAGGAAGGGAGAGGGAGAGAGAGATAGAAACATCAATGATGAAAGAGAATCATTGATGGGCTGCCTCCTGCACGCCCCCACTGGGGTTCCAGCCTGATACCTGGGCATGTGCCCAGACTGGGAATCAAACCGGGACCTCCTGGCTCATAGTCGGTGCTCAACCACTGAGCCACACCAGTTGGGTCAAGGATTTATTACTTGGTAATCCTATCAGCAAACAAGTAAAGGGAGGGGTTGTCCCAATATTTAAATATAATTCAACAAGGGGGTTAAATGAAGTTTATTTTTATTGATTGGTTTTTACAGACAGAGACATTGATTTGTTGCTCCACTTATTTATGCACTCTGGTTGACTCATTTTTTTTATTGTTTAAAGTATTACATCCGCCGAAGCCGGTGTGGCTCAGTGGATAGAGCGTCGGCCTGCAGACTGAAGGGTCCCGGGTTCGATTCCGGTCAAGGGCATGTACCTGGGTTGCGGGCACGTCCCCAGTAGGAGATGTGCAGGAGGCAGCTGATCGATGTTTCTCTCTCATCAGTATTTCTAACTCTCTATCTCTCTCCCTTCCTCTCTGTAAAAAAATCAATAAAATATATTTTAAAAAATAAAAAAAATAAAGTATTACATCCGTCTCCTATACTCTGGTTTCTCTTCAGATCGTATAAATCTTTCGCTTTTTACATATGTCTCCTTTTTCCAGGATTAACCCCCCGCCCCGCCACTCCTGCTCCCCAGGACAAGCTCCCACCGCCCCCGTGTCCTTGTCCTTTGGTTGATCTCTTGAGTTATGTGCAAGGGTCTAAGAGCCCTGTGCAAAGCTATCTCTGGTAAAAGGCCACAGCTTCGTCATCACCACGTGATCACAGGCCAGTGTGTGGAGGGAGGTTGCCGAGTGGCAGCCCTCTGTGACCACAAGAGGAGTGCAGGGCAGAGCACTGCATTGGGACCTTAAACGGGGAGGGGAACAGAAGGAGTGATTTCAGACTCTCCCTGCACCCAGAACTGTCG